TTGATTTTTCACTTTCAACTGAGAAGGCTATCTACAAGTATCAGTATCATCTTATGAAATTTATATGATCTTATTTTTATATTAATCTCAGTTATAACATTTTTCCATAAATGAAATATCAAAATTAATAATAAAATGAATGGAAACACAAATAACACAGTCAAATGTAATCAATGTACATAAAATTATAGTATTTTAGGTACACTTCTGATAAAATTTCATAAGAAAGGTACCTATAAATTAGATACCTTATGAAATTTAATCTCACTCTTAACAGTCATTTTAATTTCTTTATAATATATTTTCCATAAAGCATCATAAACGTAAAGGTGAAAGTTAAGTACAAAAAAACGAAAAAAAAAAAAATTTGAGTGCTGAATGTTTTCCTTAAAAATAATGAGGTAAATAATTTATTCACTTAAATGTAAATAATTTCACTTTTCTCCTTCTGTAGAACAAGTTATCCTCACGGATTCTATCAATGTCATTCATCACCTGTCAAGTGAAGTGAAAGGTTATTACTTGCTTTGTTTATTTTCAATTTACATCTTTTTGATGCAGAAGCTAAGTTAAGCCTGGTTCAAAATATTTTAAATAAACATAATTTCTGATTTTCTTAAAATAAGTTTTCAAAAAATTATAATTGATTTTTAAAAGAATTTCAAACAGATTTTATTTTTTTTTTATAAAATGGAAAAAAAATGATTGCCTTGATCAGTTATCTGTCAATTTTGCTGACTCAAAAAGATGGGAAAAAAACAAACAAAAAAAAAAAAAAACAAAAAAAAAACACATTTAATTTTGATATTTCATTTATGGAATAACTGAAATTAATATAAAAATAAGATCATATAAATTTCATAAGATGATACTAATACTTGTAGGTATGCTTCTCAGTTGAAATTGAAAAATCAAATTGAGTTTCGTATGTTACAATTCAGAGCTGATTTTCAGGTGATGGGAGTCCAATTAAAAAAAAAAATTAAAAAAAAAAAATTAAAAAAAATAAAAAAATATATGCATGATTTGCTTTCCTCAAAGCTGTATGTGTTTAACTATTAATCACTAAACCAACTGAACCTGACTGAATTTCTAGTGTTTTCATAAAATTAGTTAGGTTAGGTACCTCCACGAAATCGCTAAAAAAGAGCATAGCTTGATGAAAAAGACACCAAACTTGCCAAAAACTAAATTTTATTGTCTAAATGCTTATGTTATTATTAAGAGGAAAGACCAAAGTTTTTTTTTTTTTAATTATTTTTAAAAATTTTCCTTATTTTTAGAACATTCTAAATTTTGATTAAAAAAACCTTTTTCTATTTGTATCAGCGCGGAACTAGTAAATAACAGACAATTTTTAGCACGTTTTTTGGTATGACACATTAATTTGAAAAATCGTGCAAAAATAGAAATAATTATCGGATGTTAATGAAACTTTCAGAAACTATTCACAGATGATCGAAATTATTATAGATATGTTTTTTTTTTTTTTTTGAAAGTCATGGTAGAAATATTTTTTTAAATATTTATTACCCCCCCCATAACTAATTTTATGAAAACGCTAGAATTTGATCGCATCGGTTTTAGTGATTACAATAATTAAAAAGCACAGGGCTTTGAGGAATGCAAATCATGTTTTTTTTGTTTTTTAATTGGATACGCAGTACCTGAAAATCAGCTCTGAGTTGTAACATACAAAACTCAATAAAACAAAGATATTATTTAATTTCAAATGCTTTTTTTTGCTTTTAGTTGTTTTTATGAATATGGACAATATTTTCTGAAAGAAAAATTTTTTTTCGATGAAAATGAATTTTTAATACAATTATTTGTTATTTCATTAATTATAATAGATTTTACATTTAAGTTGTTAAAATATTATAAAATTAGTTAAAAGCCGCATCGGCTTTCATAAGTGTCCTTATGAGATAGATCTTTTTTTAGCGCGTTGTAAATTGTATCATTTTGACTAATCAGAAGATCCCCAGTAATTAAGAAATGTAATTTTGTGCTTATAATCGAGCTGTAATTATAAAATACGGAAGACCAACCAGAATATTATTATTCTTAAATTTACATTTAAGTGAATAAATTATTTACCTCGTTATTTTTATGAAAAACTTTCATTGCTCTAATTTTTTTTTATACTTAGCTTTCACCTTTACGTTGCTTAATGGAAAATATATTATAAAGAAATTAAAATAAGACTGTTAAGAGTGAGATTAAATTTCATAAAGGTATCTAATTATAGGTACCTTTCTTATGAAATTTTATCAGAAGTGTACCTAAAATACTATAATTTTATGTGCATTGATTACATTTGACTGTGTTATTTGTGTTTCCATTCATTTTATTAATTTTGATATTTCATTTATGGAAAAATGTTATAACTGAGATTAATATAAATTTCATAAGATGATACTGATACTTGTAGGTACCCTTCTCAGTTGAAATTGAAAAATCAAATTAACTTCTCCACACGTGTTTCGCAAAAGTAAAGGCCTTAACAGCGGAGAACAATGCTCAAATAACGCAACTTAATTATATTCTGGTTGGTCTTCCGTATTTTATAATTACAGCTCGATTATAAGCACAAAATTACATTTCTTAATTACTGGGGATCTTCTGATTAGTCAAAATGATACAATTTACAACGCGCTAAAAAAAGATCTATCTCATAAGGACACTTATGAAAGCCGATGCGGCTTTTAACTAATTTTATAATATTTTAACAACTTAAATGTAAAATCTATTATAATTAATGAAATAACAAATAATTGTATAAAAAATTCATTTTTCATCGAAAAAAATTTTCTTTCAGAAAATATTGTCCATATTCATAAAAACAACTAAAAGCAAATAAAAGTATTTGAAATTAAATATCTTTGTTTTGAGTTTTTACAATTCAGAGCTGATTTTCAGGTAGGGGGGTCCAATTAAAAACAAAACATGATTTGCATTCCTCAAAGCCTTGTGCATTTCACTAAACCTGACGTGATCGAATTTCTAGCGTTTTCATAAAATTAGTTATTGGGGGGATAAATATTAAAAAAAATAATTCTGCCATGACTTTATTAATAATAATAAAAAAAACCAATAATTTGGATCATCTGTGAATAGTTTCTGAAAGTTTCATTAACATCCGACAATTATTTTCATTTTTGCAAGATTTTCCAATGCCACAAAAAAAAAAAAAAAAAAAAAAATGCTAAAAATTGTGTTTTTTACTAGTTCCGGTGATACAAAGAGAAACAAGGTTTTTTTTAATCAAAATTTAGAATGTTGTAAAAAGAAGGAAAAAAAAATAAGAAAAAAATAATTAAAATAAACTTTGATCTTTACTCTTAATAATAATATAAACATAGACGATAAAATTTTGTTTTCGTCAAATTTGGCGTCTTTTTCATCATGCTATGCTATTTTTTTTAGCGATCTCGTGGAGGTACCCAAGACGACAAAATTGTTTTGTCAAGTTTGGCGTCTTTTTCATCAGACTATGCGCTTTTTTTTTTTTTTTGCGATCTCATGAAGGTACCTAAAATTCATTTCTGAATAAGTCCTGAAAGTTTCACTAAAATCTGACAATTATCTCGAGCTAATTTTTGCAAGAATTTTCAAATCAATGTTTTTCATGGCAAAAAAGCGCTCAGATTTCCCATATAAATTTAAAAACGGTCACGCGTTGACGCAAAATACGACAGAAACTAGAATTTCCAAGGTTCTAAAAAAAGGATAAAAAAAATTTTACATGAAAAAAATTCCTTTGCTCTTTAACTTCTTAATAACAAAGTTTTTGACGATAAAATTTTATTTTAAATTTTTCAGTATTTTTTTTATTTCTCTTTTTTAGCGAATTTTTGGAGGTATGTATTTTTAAGCAAAGTACTTGTGTAGTGTGTAGGAAATGTTCTTTTATTACAATCAACTGACCAGCTGCTTGTCAAAAACTTAATTTAAATTAATGATTCATTTAGAAAACATTTTTGTTTAAATTACACTTCTTCTCCTTTCCACTTAACATTAAAAAACAATATATGAACGACGAAATTTTCAAGGTTACTTTAAAGAACGATTAAATATGGAAACATAAATAAAATTGACTTTAAAAAAGTAAGTGACATATTATTAATAAAAAAAAAAAAAGAATGTATATTTCTTATTTAATAAGCAATATAATCGTTACGAAAGAACCACGCAAAATCATTTTCACGAGCGAAAATGTTTTGACATTTTGGGGAATTTAAATTTAATCAATTAACATTGAAAACATTAAGTACAATGACGACTAATGATTGGTATATGCGGAGTACAGTAAAAATTAAAAATAAAATCGTGAAAAAAGTTGTAAATAAATCGTTTAATTTTTTTAATCATAGATGTAAGTCACGAACATTAAAAGGTTATAGCAAAAAATACTTTTAACCTTTCTTTAAATACATCCATTTTACAATAAACTAAATAAGGGGACGACAAGGTGAGTGAGGGGAATCTACAAAATTAAAAAAAAAAAAAATAAAATAAAATAAGAGATTTAAAAAGAATGTAATAATTTTTCTTAGATGGGGGTGCACGCTAATGTGTTTTTAGTTTTCTCAAAAAAAATGTTAAGGTAGAACGAGTAAAAAAAAAATCAGATCCCACACTACAACTGCTTTACGTAATTTATTATACTTGTTGAAGTGAGTATTTGATGTTATTTATTTCATTAAGTATAACAGGTATGTCTGATTATGCATGAAATAATCAAAACAGTGAGAAAATATATACGTGAACTGTGAACAGAACATAAAAAATAGAAACGAACAGTTCAATAGGTCTTTCCACTCCCACTCCCGCTTTTCACCGCAAGACCTTCACATCGTGTCAGTCTTTTCAATGACATTGTCGAGATAGAGAGGACTCCCTAAGCAATGGAACTTAAGCTCATCAATGACAGATAGAATCATTAAACTCTCATGATCACGGAGAGAAATCATATCAATTGCTACAAATCAACTTACTTGCTGAAGTTTTAAGCCCGTTCGAGTTCGTACAAGAAGAGCGGGCCTAATCCCATTTCCAAGGAAGGCGGCCATGTCTTATGAGCAAAAATAGATTTTATCACAACGAGGCTACATATGCTAATCTCGGCGAAAATTAGTTACCTCCTTTGAAATGAGAGTTACTCATTTTTACCGTAGGTGGCGTTATGTTCCTTCCGTCAGTGGCCAAAAAAAAAAAAAATTAGAAATAAAAAAGAAAGTCCTTAAAATATCTACCCTCGTCAAGAAGTAATCACGCAAATTACCCGTACACGCAAGAAGTAATCAAAGCAAATTCTAAAATTTTTATTTTCAAAGTTAATATTACATTCTTGCATTATCCGAAATTTTCCACAAAATCACTAAATTCCCATGAGTTTTAAAAAAATGCTTGTGTGGGTATGTTAGTATAAAATTCGAGTTACAAAAAAAATTATCGAGATGTGCGATTGGGGAGACGCATCTGAAAAGATGACCTCCGATATTTAAAATGCTTTCCGTCAAAAAGGCTTGCCAAGATGTGTAAACAGAAACTTATCTTTTTCTAGTACAGTCCCCAATTAGGATAGGAAGACTTTGCTACATCAATACTTTTTAAATTGGGTTTTACCTTGAAAATCAGCATTCAGAATACGAACTTTCATCTGGTTCGAAAAAGACCACGGTGGAGTAATAATGGATAGCGGCTCGGATTGAGGAATCGGAGAGCCGAGTTCGAATTCCAGTCGGTACATTTGTATGGACTATTTGTTTTCTCGCTCTATGTCAAACGTCGGGGTTACCATTGGTAAGAATGGATAATTGTAGATGTCTGTTTACGGCTGCGTGAATAACATGACCGCACAATTTATATTAGACGTAAAATACCACAAGGCATGAAATACAAGAAGAAACAAAATGGTTTTCTTTTAAAATATAACATTTGTATTTATTTTGTGTATTGATGTACATGCGTAGAGGTTAAAGTTCTGTTGGTGTTATGTCCCTTAAACTGTGACTATTTTTATCTGTACTCACAAAAGTTGAATTAATTATAAAGCTGAGAAATGGTGAATAAACTGTAGCTTTAAGAATATTTCAAGGAGAAAAGTTCTTGTTGCTTGTTTGGAAATGTTCTGTATGTTTATAATGTAGGTTGGAAAAGTTCGTACGTACGTGCATGCGTGAATATGCTTTTAACGTCTGACCGCCCATGGTCTAGACGAGAATCCTTAAGATCACATCTTCGCAGAAGGGAAGTAGAGAAGAAGAAGAGAAAGCAGCAAGCTTGTGTCTGCTATTTATAATTGATGTAATCACGTGACAGGCTCACAGAAAATGGCGGGAAAACTTGACTTGGTCACGCGCTGGAAAAAATATTTGTACTTGGGTGGATTACAACGCCCACTTGTGTGTTTATTGACCAATTAAAAGCTGATATTTCCTGAAAATATTTACTAAGCTGAGTAGGCTCTCTGATCCACCTTTTGCACAAAAATGTACAAAATTCAACATTGATAAGAAAGTGGTAGCGGGATACTACACATTCACTTACGCGCTAATATCCTTGGAAAGGTATGAATCCTCTTCTTCTCCTCTCCCCAGCTAAATGGGTAAATAGCCTCGGATGGCAACTGGTCTACTGCAGAAAGAAATGACAACCTACTGCGGGAAAAAATCTGCCTCGACAGTCATGATCGCCTAAGCGTGTAACACGTATGGCATATAACTGACTGATGGGAAATTTGTGACTATCTCATCCATTGCCACAGATATATTTGATATGTATGATGTGCATGGGAGGAGATATACATATCTCACAGAGAATACAACCGCAAAAAATTTATAATGAAAAAGATAATGAGGAAATTTGTTTGAATGATACTGTATAACCCAAATTCTACATGATACAATACCCAAAAATAGTTTGGTCAAATCTGTGGATCACAGAACACTTTCAACTTCATACACTTTCAAAAAAATCTCGAGCCCTCATGGGTTAATAAATATACAAGTAGGCGTGACTATCCACCCACGCTTAACTAATTTTTACAGCTCGTGACTGAAATCCAAGTTCGCGACAAGTCTCTGTGAGCCACCCGAAGCAAATAAAAACAGAAACTCACTCACACTCGCTAGTGAGCATTATTGACAGAAGATTCGATTTTGGCGGGGATTGTAAGAGACGCCTTCCCTTCCCTTCCCTTTCTATCATTTCTCCCATCTCGCAGATTGAGCGCCATTTTAAACCCAGAGATCAATCGGATTTCCTTCACGAGTGTCGATATGCCTTGACGATCATTCTTCGGTCCAGTGACCATTCTCAGCCTAGAAAGGTCTTCTATCGTTATCTAGTGGAGGGGACCGCGAAGGATCTTCTACTGAAGAGTGTGAACAATGTGACATTGGTCTAAAGGGAACGGCTTCGCACGCCTTCTACCATTGTCCTCGGGTCCGCCCCCTATGGGACCATGTCAGCGAGCTGACGGCTCGTATAACTCCCGAAAAACTCGTGCTTATAGATCGCGTGTGACAATGTGTCGCCTCCGTATTCTGGGATGAAGCGAATGGTGTTTCTAACACTGCTGGTCACGGCCCGAATGGTGATTTGGACGACGCGAATAGAGGAAGTCCTGCGAGGCAACCGTCTCTCTCATCAGGATCTAATCCGATTCTTTGAGCATTAGCTCAAGATGAAAATTAGAACTGATAGAAAAACGCTTGATTTCGACAGACTTTAGCGAAAGGTGGGTGATTGAGGCGAGCTTGGTCTGTGTGAACGGCGCTAGCCTTGATTTTCTCTTTTAGGTCAACATATCCTATCGGAGTTGTTTCCTGTGGAGTCCCCCCTGGTTAGGCTAGGCATGCTTTGTGTACCTAGTTAATGTGAGTAACTGTTGTTCCCGGCCTGCTCCTGGCTATATCTTTTGTTATAATCCAAGTTGAGATTCCCAACCTCCCCAGCTTTTTTTTTTTTCCCCTTTTTAATCTCGACTGGGTCAGCTTTATTTATTTCCCATGACCGTATATATATTTTCTCTTTCCCCCTCTCCCTTAGCTCACCAGTGAACTCTATTCCCATTCACTCTTGATTTTGTCCATGGGCAGAATACAACGACTTCTCTTTTCTGAGGGTTGGACGGGTCCTACTAACATCAGTTATGTATGTTTATTTTTCTTTATTTGATATTTACTTTGTTTCGAGGTCCATCCGTTCCCACCTCATTGTAAATAATCCATGATTTTTGTATATAAACTTTGTAATCATCAGATTTGTATGTCATGGGGCGCGTTTTGTAGGTCCCCCTTGAGAGGATGCGGTATTATGATGTATGTAAGATTGATTGGTGACGGATGCGTCTTGATGGTGAATGCGCAAATTGTAATGAGTGAATGGGTCGTGAATCGGATTAGCTAGGTATAGGATAGTCAGTGAAAACCAGCCTCAGCCCATTCCCCCTTTTCAGCCTTGTGCCATAATTGTATTTATATACAATAAATATCGAGCATTGTGACATCAAACGAATTGCAACTAAACTTCACGTCACACAATCTTTCGTTCATACGAACATTATACAAATTTAACGATATTCACGCTCACTCACCAAAGCTCACCAGTGAACTCTATTCCCATTCACTCAGCAAATTCCTTATGCAGAAGATAAACAAATTCCTGCTAACAAATCAACTTTATTTCTCAACATTCGAGAACATTGTATTAAAACAAGATAGATAATTTCTTTGATCACAAAATTGTATTCAACTTTACAAACATTTACTACTTATATAAGTACCTTGATGAGAACTTGAGAACTACTAAAATAACATAAATTTTTAGCAGGTTTTTTTTTTTTTTGTATGACACGTTAATTTGGAAAATCTTGCAAAAACAAAAATAATTGTTCGATGTTAATGAAATGATGGAAATTATTATAAATATGTTTTCTTTTTTTTTAAGTCATGAAAAAAAAATTTTTTATATTTATTACCCATCCCATAACTAATTTTTAGAAAACTCTACAAATACAGTCGCTTTCAGTTTAGTGATTATATTAGTTAAAAGCACAAGGCTTTGAGGAACGCAAATCAAGTATTTTTTTAATTGCTTCCACTGACCTGAAAATCAGCTCTGAATTGTAACATACAAAACTCAATAAAACAAAGATATTATTTAATCTCAAATGCTTTTATTTGCTTTTAGTTGTTTTTATGAATATGGACAATATTTTCTGAAAGCAAAAAAAATTTTCGATGAAAAATGAATTTTTAATACCATTATTTGTTATTTCTTTAATTATATTTGCTTTTACTTTTAAGTTGTTAAAATATAAAATTAATTAAAAGCCGCATTCAGTTTTGTAAATATCCTTATGAGATTGTTGGGGATGTGCAGAAAACTACTGAACTTGGGTTAGCATTAAGATGAATCAGAAGGAAATTTTATGTGAAGTTGCGTGAACTTTTCTGCATCCTCAAACAAATAAACAATTTCAATATAAACAAAACAAAACATACATTCAATTCAACACCAATAAAAGCATTTATATACAAATACGATAATATATACAGGGTATTTTTAAGGTTGTTAACTTACATGAACAGTAAATTCTTAAATGTAAATTTTTCTCTTGCAATTAATTTTTAAAGAATCTTCAATAACAGAGTCTAACAAACATCCTTTCAAATCAGAACTCATTAACAAAATTTAATCTTTTACCAAAATTGAGTTCAACATAAACTAACAAGATCTCACCTTAAAAAAATCCACTATATTTCTGTAAAATATTTTTATTACAAAAATATATTGAAAATTATTTGTTATTCAAATATTTGCCTTTTGTCTTTTATCACAAATGTTTTTTTGTTGTTTTCTCTTGTTGTTTTTGCATTTTGCTTAATATATTCGTAGAGTAAAAAATTGTATGGATTGATTTGTCCGTCAACACCATTAAATAAATGGTAACCACCAAACTTTCCACTACAATACAATGTTCAATAATTCGCCGAAAAAAAAAGCATGATGCAAAAAGGTCCCAAACTTAATAAAAACAAAGTTCTATCATGAAAAACTTTAT